GGAAGAATGCAAGAATGTCTATTTGGACAATGAATAATATGTACAAATATATTGCACCTCCTTAGAAAATGAATCTATTTCTTGAACAATGATATGTATCCGTCTTTTAGAAAATGTTCTGATTATCATTATTATTGTCAGACATCAGAATTGATGAGACTCCCAAAATAAATGAAGCGGTCAATACGCTCAACCACTTCACTCCCTACCACTAGTTCAGATGCAGATGCAAGCCAATCCTGAAGCAGTATTTTGCATTTCGAAGGGAGAGAACCGCATTCCAAACGTGATTGCATTGTTGCTTAAAATGCATTTTGTCAGAAAGTAGAACTGTTATCGGCAAATCGAGTCGGCAAGTGAATCTCCCGCTAAAACTTCAGTTCTTGAAAAGTCAGACAATGACCCATATCTTTATACTAGCCGACTGAACCGCCAAGGATGCCGATCCGAGAAACAGTAAACATTTGGAGCATGATTGCAACCAACCATTAGACAGGAAGTAACTTGGTACACCATATCCTTTAGTTGCTCTGTTAAACTATATACTTTAAGTAAGACAAATCAACAGATTGTTCAGTTGCAATACTTCACCGATAGGATTGGCTTCGCACCATTTTCTTTTCCTTCAAATAGATATTGACGAAGTTGATACTCAATATTTCTTGAGGAAAATATACTTCGTGAGAGGATGCCGTAGGAATTCCTAACTTGCAAGATAAAGACTGGGAGATAGAAAACACGAGAATGATTTAATTATAACCACCGGATTAGTGAAAAGGGCAGACATGTACTCTGGTTGGTTAGTATAATCATTTAGTCTAGAAGTTAAATTAATTTTACTTCTAAAACCGGTTCATCAAACCAGAAGTGTTTCCACGTCTTAATAGTGACAAAGACAAGCATTATAATCTAAAGTGTTATTCATTTCCAATCCCTGCAATTATTTCAAATTTCGAGATGTTAATGTGGAATTCTAGCCATATAATCCAAATCCATTTTACTAAGTACTATATAGATATACGGTAATGCTTAATCACAAAGTCGTTCTTCTTTTGGGACATAAAACCTCTTGATTCTCAGCCTTTTCAACAGCCTATGGATTGTCAGCGTTGATATTATTTTTTGTTCTTTAGTTATGTGACCTATTTAATTCGGATGCGTCCATTCTGAATTTATAGGATTTCTTATTTTTGAATAATCAGATGTTTCAGAAATAGTAACACCATTCTTAGTTTTTCGTGTAAGCCCCTGGGGAAAATTACCTGAGCTCCATCCTGGAACCATAATATCTGCATGTATTTTGAGACTAATTTATGATTACACTAAAGTAAAGGTAACTCCGCCTATAGACTCTTCGGGGCTACTCCTGGTCCCAAGACCGGATAAAGGAGGAGGGTTGGGATTGACGAGCACATCCTGGGAAAAACTGAATTGCCTAAAAAACCCTAACAAGAAAAAATAATTTGAACCATATAAACTCTGCTCTGGGAGTTAACAGGTCTTCATTTAGAAGAGTTATGACGTCTCATGATGAAAGCCGAGTTCCTTCGGAAGTCATGAGGCCTATGTACCTTCTGACAACCAGAACCCTTCCACGACGTCGGCAGCCGGGAAGTAACATCCGCACTCATACCCATAAAAGAACACGAGACCGAATAGGTCACAATCAAATCCTTTCTAAACCTTTTAATAACTCTCGTATCTCCTCGACCAACCTTTCTTTCGATCATCACTTCGCGTCAATGAAGCAAACAGTTTGAGCTCATGAAACATAATTCATGGTCTCTTGAAATTCTGTACTAAATTACATATTACAGCTTTTAATGTCCGAACCCTATGCCAAATAGGTCAACAGGCTTCATTAGCTAAAACTCTGGGATCCCGTGCGATCGATGTACGTTGTGTCTCGGAAACGCGCAAACAAGATCCGAGCAAAACCAACAACTCGATCTCACCTAGTGGCCTCACTGGTGTAGGTATAGCATTAAGTCGCCAGGCAGAACAAGCTCTCTTAGACTGGAGCCCAGTAAATAGTCACTTGTGTGCTGTCCGACTGAACGGGACAGTAAGGACTGGGAAAGATAGGGACATAGACCATTGATTCTTCGTCATATCTGTCTACGCTCCCACCGACTGCAGTTCAGACGAGGTGAAAGATGAGATCTACAGAAAGCTTTCGGACCACCTGCAAAAAGCTAGGCGCTCTGACGTAGTGATAATGGCTGACTTTAATGCTTAGGTAAGTAGACTAAGTGAAAATGAAAGACACCTGTGTGGATCTCATGGTGTTGCGGCCCAAAAAACAGATAATGGCGACAATCTGCTACAGCTATTCTCTGAAAACCGCCTATTTCTACAAAACACAAACCTTAAGCATAAGGTAAAACATCTTTTGACCTGGCGACCCCCAAAGCTGAATCAACTAGATTATATCACCACAAGCCATCGGTAGACAGGCTCTATTGAAGACCGTCGCTCGTACTGGAACACCTGTTTAGACTCAGATTATGCTCTAGTGCGAACGCGTATTTATTTGCGTCTTACTAGACGTATTAAAAAAATATCGCGAGGAAACCGCTTAGGGCTCTACTTAATGTTAATAAGGCTAAGAATATATTTCAGGAACAACTAGAAAAATAGTTAGGCAACCATGTAGTAAGTGATGCCCACTGTGAGGGAGTTAGGAATGATATCAAAAGTGCTGTGGAGACAGCAGTAATATCTGCTAGTAAGGTAAACCATACGGCTAGGGATAACCTGTAGATTTCAGCAGCATCTACGGAACGGATAGACGCTCGGAAGCTCAGGCCGCCTACGTCTGAGGTTCGAACTCAGCTTGGGCGCAGGCTGATAAAAAGACTACGCAATGATCGCGAACAGTGGTGGATAGCGAAAGCAAGAGCGATAGGCAAAAGTAGACAGTTGTTCCGACTTATCAAGGAAACATGTCTTAGGAATCCGATTGTAAGTGAGAATACCTCAGTGCAGGAGATGGGACCGATGTGCAGAATACTTAAGGGATCTGCTCAATTGGCCTTCAGCCACACTTCGCTTGCCCACGATCTCCAATCAACCTAAATGGCAAATCGATTCAAGTCGTCTGAGTCTTTATTAAGTTGTAAAACCTATAAGAAATCTGAAGTCAGGGAGAGCAGCAGGGCCTGGTAGATTGACCCGTGAGATTTTTAAGGATGGTGGTCCAGTTTTTGCAGTTAGATTGACTGAGATGAAATTTAGAATTACGGAACTGGACATAATCCCATCTGACTGGTCTCAATCACTGATTGTCCCAATTTATAACAAAGGAAGAAAGTCCTCTTGTGACAATCACGGAGGAATCCGTTTAACTAATACAGTATCTAAAATATTGGCCTCATTAATACTCCGACGCCTAACGAGAGCTCGTGAAGAGCAGACTCGAGGAAACCAGGCTGGTTTCAGACCTGGACGTGGATGTATAAACCACATATCCATTCACACTACGACACATCCTAGAACTCAGACACACATTTGAGCGTCCGACGTTAGTTGTCTTCCTGAACCTTAAAGCGACATTTGACTCTGTCGATCGTGAGTTTCTGTGGCAGTGTCCGTCACTAAGACGTGCACCAAAGAAGAACATTCACCCTATACAATCTCTCTACTCGAATACAACTGCCTGAGTTAGAGTTTATGGAGAACTGTCATCGGAATTGATTTCTTCAAGTGGTGTCCGTCAGGGCTGTCCACTTTCTCCATTATTGCTTAACTTTGTCATAGACTTGCTTCTAGACATAACATTGTCTTCGTCTGACTATTCAAGAATAGACCTTCTACCGGGAAACTCGCTTGTTGACTGAGAATATGCCGATGACGTAGTCCTACTTGGTGATGACGCTGACAAAATGCAGTCTTCTGACCACCCTAAGCAACAATGCAAGCATGTTCGGGATGCGCTTCTCCTCCTCGAAGTGCAAAATGTTGCCTCGAGATTGGGTTGCATCGGTACCTGAACTAGTGATAGGGAGTGAAGTGTTTGAGCGTGTAGACCGCTTCACTTGTATTGGGATCTCATCAGTGCTGATGGCCTGGCGTGTGACGAAATCTCAGCAGGGATACAGGAGGCTCGATTGGTTGTTGCCAACTTGCGTCACTTATGGCGTAGGCGAGATAGACGTTTGCTACCAAAAGAAAGCGTGTACTGCCCAGCAGTTCGCTCTGTCCTACTATATGGCTGTGAAACATAGCCATTGAGAGTAGAAGATATTCGTGCGTTACTGGTTTTCGGTCATAGGTTTCTTCGAAGCATTGCTTGTGTATCGCGGGACAACCGAGTGAGCGATGCTGATATTAAGAAACGGGTGCTAGGTAAGGATGGCAGATCAGTAGATAAAGTAGTGAAACTTTATCAGTTGAAGTGGTTGGGACATGTGTTGCGTATGCTTAACCACCGACTACCTTCGTCGAGCGATTTTTTGCGGTGTAGGAATAAGTTGGAAGAAAGCTAAACCAAAACATGGCATAAGTCCATGAAGTCACTGACAAGTGGACTGAGTCATGTTGTTAGATGTAGGCTACCTGGTTGGGGTCCATGAGACGACAGTCACCGATGGTTAGAGACCTTGAATGACATGGCTCAGAATTGTTTGCAATGGTGCAGGTGCATCCATGCTTTGTGTTCTCACAAATTCCAATCTTCTGAATTCCTCATCACTATACCTATCAAGTTTATTTGATTAGATTTTACTTCTTGAATAATATCTTCGAACTCTAAAATTTTCCATTACTGCTAACACCGTTACTACGCCTACAACTATGGGATTTAAATCGACAATTACATTTCTGTGCTACTGTGGTATGGCTACTTGAACTGATGTACGTACGCACGGAGTTCTACGTTGCTGTTGATTGAAAGTAAAAGTCTCTAAGAATTACTTAAGTAATCCTTGTGATTACCCTAGCTGCAGTTCAGACGATGTAATGTTAAATGACGAGTAGATAAAAGAACTAAGGCCGATTTTAACGCCAAGTATTTATTTACAAAATTTTACCAACTATTAGAATCGCGAAAAATAGCAGTGCAATCACTATAGAACATAATCAGATATCATTCTGTCCATACCAACCAGACGAATGGAAACTTTCCTTGCAATGTTCCATTTACAACTTGGAGAAAACCCAAGTGGCATTGGGATACAAAAACTGCTGGACTTTCATATGGACCAAAATAAAACAAGGATAATAAATACAGGATGACCTAACCTAAAAAAGCACATCCAGCGAAAATCAACGATAAAATCAAGCTGTAATTCATATTAATATCATTGAAAAACTAAAGGGTAGACAAGAGAGAGGAAATATATGGAAGCTAAGAAATAAAAATAGCTTCAAAACCTAGAAGTAGACTAGTTTAGCTAAGTTATCACAAACGACTTAGAACCATGTTGGTAAGTGCACAAGCACGTGTGAACACATTCGTATGCAATGATAGAATATTTTACGATGTCATCATATCACCCACCTATCAGTATTTTCATCTTATAGGTAATCATTTAGGCTCATACTAATATAAGGTAATTCTACATATGGTACCACATGAGACATTTCAGAGCACTGGGGAACGTTTCCACGATTAAGTAGACTGAAATTACTATCTGCTTAGTTCAATGAAATGAAACCGGTCATCAGAAAAGTTCCAACGATATATTTGTTCTGATCAACTACAATGAAACAACGACTCAATCGAAGATTTGATCTAGTATAAATTGGATAAGCCTAATTTTCTGGCATCGACCAAATTAACCAAATACAATATACTTGTAAAAGTAGGATTGGCGTTTGTGAAGAGCGTTTCTCATAATGAAATTATGTACTTCGGTAAATGCTGAATAAATATAAAACGTGTTTTAAAGATTTACATTAGTTGACGACTGAAGTTGCCAATTACATGCTTTCATTTACGGAAGTAGTTAGATATTCACCAAATTGTTCGATTTCCAATGATAGAAGTGTACCTAAAGGTAAGTGAAAAGGAAATGGACCAAGACCTACATAGAAATACTGTCACGTACAAGGCTGGGTTCAGGAGATGCATAGTCCTGTAGTGATAGTGGAAGAATGGGAAGGGCTATACGACATTCTACAATAACAGGGTTTTCTCTGTTACTAAAGGGAAATTAACGCAATGAGAATATTACTACAGAATTACATTTCTATTTGAAAATCATCTTCTTGATTACTAATCGAAGCATCCTCGCAGACTATTGAGCATGGTCTAGTCAGTACGGAAGCGTACTCAACTGGGAGAGAACTCAACGGTTCTACTTGTACACGGCATGCTGTTAACGGTATAAAATAACCAGGGTTGCGAAATTCTGGTGGGACTATAAGCAATTATTCATTTATATGTACGAGTACCCAAGGCAGACAAGCTTCTACACTTCGCTTTTGTAGGTGACTTTCTCATACATGACACTCGATCATTAATCTTGGATGGTGAAAATGACCTAACCCGGTGGACAGTCGCGTATCTAACCATAATCGTTCCGACCGCGACTATACCGCCACGGCTCAAGGGCGAATCTTCGAGCTACTTCCAAATCCAATATCCAATATCTTTTTCACGAGCTAGTGTAAACCAATTAATTTCTTTGCGCTGGATTCTTGTTCTTCCAGTACGGTTCCAGGTGTTCGTTAATGTCCAATGGATGGAGGTCTAGCCACTCGAATGTCTAATTCTAGTCAGTTGGCAGTTGGTTGTGAGTTTGTATGTCTCGGGATTTGAATGAAAACGTTTGTTTCAGGGCAGTAGGGTTTCTGGACACCAGCAGCCATCACATTACCAAGCCGGAGATCAGTTATTTGCAATGTGGAGAGTAATAAGGATAATAAGGATAAAATTATAATGATTATATGAATAAAATTTGAGAAATGAGTAGTGTATAGATGAATTTAGTTTGTTAATTTGTAGTGAAGATTGTGAGAGAGGACCGTAGTGTAAGCAAGGGGGAGGGAACATAGATGATAGGCAAGATAGATTAGGTAAGTGATCTGAGGAGATGGCAATGGTAACACCAAGCAGGTCTCAAGATATGCATCATGAACAGCTTGACCAAGAGGGAGACGATAGTCCGTATATGAATATGTGATTATCGAGTGTCTCCTTGAAGCAGTCTACTGAGGGGGCTGTGGTCACCTCCGTTGGGAGAGCATTCCAAGTTGCGACGACTCGCAATGAGAAGAAGTGTGCACGAATCTGAGTATTAGCTCTTTGGTTCGCAATATTTCGAGGATTGCCTCGTGGGGAGTGGTGGTGATGCATCGGTAAGATGCTCACGTTGGGATGGTTTGACGTGCTTAATATGTTATAAGCCATAATCAAATCACCTCTGATTCTTCTGTAGCTCAGTGGAAATAATCCCAAAAGCTGGAGTCGATCTTCGTAAGGTTTATTTTTCAACCCTATCACCCATATGGTTGCTCGTCTCTGCACTCGATCTAAGAGATTTGTGTCTCTTTTAAGCAGAGGGGGTGCGATGACATTGTGAACCTCCAGGTATGTGCGCGCGTACGGCTAAAATAGGGTTAAGGATAACTTCGGGGTGATGGCATCAAGTTGTCTTCGCATAAAGTGAAGAGTCGCATTTGCCTTGGCTGAGTCCCCTACATAGTTTTGACTGGTGTGGGGGCTATCTGTGGTTATTAAACCGAGATCACGCTCTCAGGAGACATTAGGGGGCGGACTTCCATTGGGGGTATAGATCGTTTGCGTCGTGTGAGGCAGAATATGCATGACGTGGCACTTCGGTTGGTTAAGTTTTAAGCCATGTTCCACTGCCCATTCCTCAATAGATGTAAGGTCCTTTTGGAGCTCAGTCGAATCCTCTTCGCTTCTAATAGACCTCCAGATCTTCGCATCGTCTGCGTAGATCAATGACGGTGAGCTAACTGAGCCTAGCAGGTCGTTAATAAATATTAGGAAGAGAAGTGGGCCTAGGATGGTCCCCTGTAAAACTCCCGATGTGGATACTCGCCAGCTCTCGTGCACTCTATTTACCGTGGTGCGAAACTTTCTATTCTCAGTGTAGTTTCTGAGCCAAGATGCGAGTGAGTCGGTGAAGCCCATTTCCACAACCTTTTCGATTAGGCATGCGTGGGGTACTGTGTCGAAGGCTTTTGCAAAGTCGAGAAATATAACGTGCACCGGTATTTTACGGGCCAAACAGGATGTCCAACTGTCCCATGCAGTGAAAAGATTAGATGCACACGACCTGCCTTTCCGAAAGCCGTGTTGAGCTTCATGTAATATTTTATTCTTATCCATGTACTCCCTCATTTGTTCGTCCACTAGCCCTTCTATAACCTTTGATGATATTGGTAGCAGTGGGACTGGTCTGTAACAGGCTGGGTCCTTTCTATCTCCTCCTTCGAAGACTGGAGAGAGAGTAGCTTGTTTCCATTCAGCTGGGAATTGGTGTGACTCCAGTGAATGCCTGAAAAGGTCACATAGCGGTGGACAGACGACTTCTGCACATTGTTTCAAGACTATGGGGCGAATTTTGTCTTAACCTGGCGACTTACCTGGGCGTAAGGATATTAGTTTCCTTAGTACTAAGTCAGGAGTGATATAGATGTTCCTTAAGCCGTCACCTGGCAATGGGTTGGCGTAGTACTCTTAACATGTGGGCGCCTAGTTTAACTGATCAGAAAAGTTAGTGTTGAAGATCTCGGCCATCTCTAGGTTGGTGAGGTCTTCCGCGTTGGGTCCTTTGAGAGAACACAACCCTCGATTAGTAGGTTTTCTTTTGCACATGAACCTAAACAGATACTTCGGGTTTTCCGCTATTTTAGCAGCTAGCTTTGTCTGAAATCGTCTCCTGTAACTTCGAGCTTTGGAATTGCATCTGTTTCTCAATGTCAAGTAAGAACCGCGATCGGAATCCTAGTTTGCCCTAGTGTAGCAAAGATAGGGCTCGTTATCGTCCTGTGTGAGTGTTCCGTTTATGACCATGTTAAAAAAGACTGTGCCATGGTCACTACCACCTACTGGTGCACGCACATAAACGTCCTCAACCAGGAGCTGGTAATTTGTTAACAGATAATCCAGGTTCACTTCTTCGTCTGCAGTGTCAGGGGATAGCCATGTTTCAGTTGAAATTATGATCTTCAGATCCACTTGAGAGCACATATTTCTAATATTTGACCCCTCAGCCCTCTTACGTTGCTATAGAGGCACCTGGCGGTTTGGCTCAGCACCTGGTACGTTTCTGCAGCAGCAGCCGTTGTCGGATTTTCAAACAAGTTATTCAAACCGAACTGACCAGTTCTGCGGGAACTGGCCTCTTCAGGTCTTTTGCCTGTGCAGTGAGTTCAATCGTGTCTTGTGCCAGGGGTTATTGATCTAGGTTAACTGCCAGTTTTGTGAGTTATTTGTGGCCTCCCTTCTGTTGTCTCACAGATAGAGGTCGGCTTTCGCAACACCTGATGTGGCTAGACAGATTGTTCCTCGAACTGTACCAAGCCGGGAATGCTTCAGTCAGGTCTTCTCGGTTCCTAAATGTCACAGCCATCAGGCGTGGCGACTTGATGGACGTAGGGTGTGACGGGCGGGGCAATCTAGAAATACAAACAGCCATCGTGGTGTGAAGGGATAGGCTACGCGATAGCCATCGCCAATGTCGCACATCGTGCTCGTGAGCTTCTTCCAGGTTACCGTCAGCGAGTTCGAGTACACCGTGAACTACCATGGTGGCCTGCTCTTGGGTGCCTGGCGTAGTCCTGGCTGCCGCTCGTATCGACCACGGCTTGTCATGCCTGATGCGAATCGGCGAGGGAATTTGACCTATGGTCTTCGGAATGAAAGGATGATGTCTTCAGCAAGTCATGCGGGGTCAAAAGTTACCTTCATCGAGAAATTTTGGCCTTTGAAGGGGCGGCATGTTTTGACTGGGACGTCGCACACTCCGAGGGCTGTGCAGTGTTTATCCCACTGCTCTTTGTCGATGGCAGCCCTACCTTCTAGCAAGCTTTCTCCCGATACTGTGGCATTATATAAGATAAGTGAGTTAATCTGTCGTCCCTGTTCTTGGGTGGTAGCCGCTTGTGAGTTGGGGTGTTTCTATTTCCCTTCTTCACGTTCACCCACTAACAGATACTGGGGGGTTAACAACAACCGGCAGTTTTGTCGGTGTGTTAGGCAGGATAATGGTAGCCTTAGTCACTTGTTTTACTGGTTTAGTGCCAGGCGATTTTAGTTTGGTAGTTTGGACTTTAATGCTGATTTTGTGTGGGACCTGTGGCTTTGCCAATACTTCAGATACTCTACACCGAGGGAAAATATACCAGAACCATGGGCAGGGGTGCCTCAGCATGAATCCGTAGTACTCTTTAGGTACTGTAGTGTCGCAGTGACAATGTACCCATGTACTACAGAAGTTGCATTCGAAAGCACAGTTACTGATTTTGACTGGTAATGAGCAGGCAAAACATTCATCGTTATGCGGTTTCTGGGCGTTCGACTGTGTCGACTGAGATTTGGGACGTCTGTTTCTCCTATTCTTAACTAACTTACTGGTATTTTTAGGAATAGGAGTAGTGTATTGCTTACTCTTTGGTGTTTGCGTTGAGTGATCCAAAGTATGGACACTGAGAGGGTTACTATTGACTGACGGTTTGAGTTTTTAAAAACTAGTTCGCACGAGATTTGGATTTTCGATGCACTATTAATCCCGGGGTTTATGCCTCTACAGGTTTCCCTGGTTGTTATAGTGTAAGATGTACTAGCGACCTCATTACTTAACATGATACCAGGAAGATTAGGAGGTGAAAACCGAGATAATTAAGATACGAGATACACAAAAAGGGGATTTAGGATAGAAGAATTTAGTAGTATACAATATAACTACAAGGAATAGAGCCTGAAAGTACCCCGAAATTGAAACTATACCTTTGACCGTATTAGTATCCAGTAACTTGTCCACAAGTCCTGTGTTTGTGAGTGAGTGAGTGGATGTACGTATGCTGCCGAAGCAGCTAGAAAAATATCAGTTGAATGAGGCAGCTAGAACTACCGCCCAATGGTTCTGACTTGGAATGGTTCCGTTTGCCCGAAAATGTATTCAGATTGTCGATCAATGAATGGAGAAAACTTTTTATAGCTTTGGGGATGATAAAGTATCCGGAAAGTGGATTGTTTCTCGTAAATGGTAGAAAGTCAATGAGGCCACGTCAAATTCGAAGTGGGCGCAATCTAAGCAAACACGCTAGTCTAAACCACTTAATTCCTTGGCGCTCGATTATTACTCTTTCAGTGCGGGTCCAATTATCTGATAATGTTCAGAGGATGGCAGCCTAGCCACTCCGTAGGCTAAGGAGTTAAATATGTCTAAGTATTTTCTTATCTCGTGATGCGGATTCCTTGCAGGAGAAACGGAGTAAGATGAATTTATAGGATCTGTGGAGTGAGAAATGAACAGCCAATCTGTATCCTGTTAAATTCTATTTCAAAGTGACAACTACTGCTGTTCACAAAATTTAACATTTGCTAAACGCAAAACGGATGATTAATCAATAATTATTTCGTAAATGAGAAACGATAGAAATATTTATAAAAATATGTGATCAAAAACCTGTGGAATAGAACTTCAGTAAAAATTTAGAGAGACCATTCAAAGGCCGAAAATCAGCAAC